TTGATGTATTCCGCTTCAGTCTCGTCGTTAGACCTGGACAGGATATTCCTCAGTGTATTGCGGTCGGACCGGGAAAGTGCGGAGCACGTTAGTATAACGTCTTTCCCACTCCGCCCGCTGGACTTCGGCTGATCACCATGGACAATTTGATCCGCTCGAACACGTTCCAACACCTCAAGTTTAATTCGAGCAAGCCAAATCTGCCTATCAAGGGAGCTAAGATGGATTCCAGAGCTCATCTTAACCTTTGCAATGGCATCATGAACCGCATCCCCATCAATCACTGGGCAGGATAGGGATTCGGCCAGCTCAATGGCAAGGGTGCTCTTGTTAACGCCAGGGGGACCCGACAGGACGATGAGCCGAGTTGACTGCTGCTGCCGGGATCCTGCTGTTGGCGCCGTAGCCGTCCAGTTGGTCTTCAGAAAATGCCCGACAAACTTCTTCACCAGGTCTGTGGACAATGCAGGCACCATACCGAGCTCGGGAGAAATTTGTTCTGCTGTGGATGTGACATACTTGAAGTTCTTCCTCTTGGTGAGGTCATTGTCATATTTGCTTGAGAAGAACTCGACGAGTTTGATTGTGGGATTCTGTTCGGGGTCTGGATTTGATGCGCGCAGGCGGCGGATCCATTCGCGCTGATTCACTTGGGCGAACGACAGACCTGCGTTGTGTAGTGCAGGCAGGAGGTCATTCGTCCAGTGGAATGTGCGGGGATTGACAATGTTAAAGACTGCATGTGTGGTGCTCGAAAGGGAGATATCCATAACTACCCTCGCGACACTATCCACTGGCAACCAACGGGGATGTTCGTCAAGGGTTGGGAGTGCCCCGATTGTGGTCGCCGCTTGCAACATTAGGGGGATGGCCTCGGTGTCGTTCCAAATGCCATGTGCGGTGTCCGCAATGATCTGTCCGACTCGCAAGACGCGAGCCTCCATTCCCGTCTGAGAGGCGGCTCGCGTCACAAGGTGCTCGGTCACCAGCTTTGACTGCGCATACCCCATGCCCTGGGCACACTTGAAACTTTGGGGAAGCGCTTCTGCCACGGCATCACCAGGAGTATTCGTCACCGTGGAGACTGACGAGCAGAAATTGAATGAAGCCGGCGTAGGTTGTTGGGCGGAGAGGCAGAGGAGCATCAAATGCCGGGTGCCCGCAATGCAGTCTGCCTCAAAGCTACTCAGGTTTTTGTTGAAGTTGACTGACCAGGCACAGTGCACTAGGCTTGTGATCTTTGCTGAGATGCTGGCATAGACACTGTCACCGAGGCCCAGGTCTGTTTTCGAAAAGTCAGATGGATAGCAAGAGATCTTGCGACGCAAATCCAGTGGAAGCGTGTGATACAGTGCTCGGCGCTGCATCGATTCGATGACCCGTCGACGGGCAGACGACCTGGAACTGGCTCGGACCAAACAGCACACCTCTGAGATATCTTGACGGCGAACAAGCTGTGCAACAAGGTGAGCTCCCAAGGAACCTGTTGCGCCTGTGACAACAATACAACGCCCTGTAGACTTGGACGGTACAGGTATATGTTGGGGAAACTCGCTATATTTCTCAACAAGCCGTTCCATCTCCTTGACCACATCTTGCGTTTCGCCCGATTTGCGATCACGGATGTTGAGAATGGCAGCGGCCAGTTTGGCGATGGTGGGATATTCAAACACAATGTTCTGTGGCAGCGAATTACCATTCAGTTGAACTTCCTGTAATATCTTGGCTCGGAGTCTCGTCGAATGCAGGGAGTCAACGCCGAGTGAGAACAAGTCAGTATCATCTGTCAGACATGTGGACTCATCTTGAGGACAAAGGTCCAGCAAATGCCCGCGGATGAATTCTCGCAGCTCGAGCTCCGAGAGCACGAGGGTACCAGCCGTTCTCGACTCTGCTTGGTGATACACCTCCTCGATTTCATTGTGGAAAGCTCGGTAAAATGCCTGACGTATCAGGGAACCTTTGTCGGTGCAAGGATATGCGGTTCCGGCGGGCAGGACCGTTATCATCTCTTTCGCCAGTTGTGCATAAGCAGGCAAGGCCTTGTTCTCCGCCATGATTGTTGGCCAAATTGACTCGAGCAGGTCTCCGGCGCTCATGCCAGCTCCTTGCTCGGAAGCAATGACCATCATACCCAGCTGGCTCTTACCCGTCCCAAACATGACCGCTTCTCTCACCAGTTTGTTCTGTCGCAGCGCTTGTTCCATGGCAAGAGGAATGGCTTTCTCGCCATTGACCAAGACAAGAGTATCATCAAGCCGACCGCAATATTTCCATGCTCCTGGTATGGATGGATGGGGCTCGAAGAGATCTTTCGTTGCGTACGATCCATCGTCGCGGTTTGTCGCAACCTTGGAGGGCCACCCATCCAAAACACAAAGCTCATACAGGTTCCCTCCTTGAGGCTCCATCCGGAGATAAGGCTTCAGCTGGTCGTGTTCTCGAACGTAATTCCAGGCCTTATCGTCAGCAGGTCTGAAGGATGTCATCAGCTGACCAGTCTCTGTCGTTCCATAGTGGCTGATCAAGTTGACTCCGCCTTCGGTCAACAAGTCGCCCAAAGCATCCGGACACGCTGAGCCCCCAAACATGACCACCTTCAGCGCCGCCAGAGCATTGATTCCGTCATGCGTCTCACTCAAGAGTTTGAGGGCATATGGAACGGCGAGAAAGATCTCGAATTCGTGGTCTGTCAGGATCTTCAGCAGGTGCTGGCTGGTCAACGGCAGGTTGGCGTTGTATATGTATATCTTCTTGACAGCGGTGATACCACGAAAGACGTTACTGAGGCCGAAGGCGTGGAAGAGTGGCAGCGTGACGAAGCCACGCATTCTCAAGCTGTTTTCATAGTTCTTCAGTGCCGCCTTGTGGGTTTGATAAATCGGTTTAGGGAGACCAGTCGAGCCAGACGAGTGAATGATCCATGCAACCTTGGAGGATTCCTGGTCCAGGTCAAAATGCTGCTGCTGTAGTGCGGCATCGTCTAGTTGTGTGTTGGTCATATACTGCGCTTGGGTCAAGATATCAATGACCTCTAACCCATCTCTAGCAGCCGCCAGAGCATTTGCAGTCTTTCGGAACGAGGAACCGACGACGATATGGCGGCATTTCGTGACGTCCAGCAAAGACAAATACGCGGCCTGGGATATTCTCGTCGACAAAAAGAGGACCGTAAACCCTAGTCTGGACAGAGCCAAGAGGGTGAAGAAGTAATCCAGATCCGATGGCCCCAGGAGGGCAATGACTCGTGTCTCTTGGTGAGAGTCGGTACGAGACGGCAAGCATTCTGCATATCGCCTGGCAGCTTGCGAGGATATTCTCACGAGGTCCGAGTATGTGTACTCGAGATAGTCGAGTGCGTCCGAGGGATACCCGAAGATCGGCTCGTCAGGGAAATCTCGCGCCCTCAGTGACAAGAGTTCTGTGATGGTTCGAGGACTCGGGAGTGGTGGTGATAGCGGTGGCGTGGGTGGTTGCAGCGACGGGGACGCGACTGGGCTGACTTTCGAGACAGGTAGGGGGGATCTCATGTCCACGGATGCCATCCTGCTTGTTCTATCGTCGAGGTCGTTTTCTTTTGCGCTAATATCAGACGTATAGGGCGAGAAGAACGGACATATAAGAATCTCTGCGAATGCCTTGCTGGATCTTTGCCAGGAGTGGAACCACTGTCCAAACGAGGCAATATCCTTGGGATGGGCGTTGCGGCGGCACCGTTAGTGGAGCGCTTGTTCAAAGGAAGAGGAGGATACGGTGATCATTCCTTTGGTGACACAGCATTCAAATATCCGTCGGCTCATCGTTATTTGCTCAGCGTGTGGTTCAAGATCGATGGACCTTTGTCTAAGGCCGCATGTCAAATCAAGGTGACATATGTACGAGGGACGCCCGACACTCCGCAGCCGTGCTTACTTGTATGCCAACTGGCCGAATACGCCCACAGGCGGAGCAGCAGCGTGGTACTCCAAAAGGTGGACACTTTGCCCTTCAAGGATACGAGGATTCCGTCGGAGCAGCCGACGGAAGAAGCAAAAGACTCACGAAACTTGACGGGGCTTGGTGTTCGTCTTCAGGGGCAACAGCCTCACGGTATTGTGGTCGTGTCACCGGCAATTATGCATCTGCAGGTAAGAGCATTGGCTGGGCTGTCTAAGTCAATCGTCCAGAGCGTTGAAGCTCGAGGTGTTTCCATCCATTAGCTCTCTCTGTTGGATGAAGGCGCTGCCGACCCATTCAGCATATCTACCCTCCACATCAGGCTCTCCAACCTGCCTCCCCGAGACTCCAATACGATCAGACAGGTCAAGTCGCATCGGATACGACACTAGCAAGTCGTCATCAGCATAGCTATTCTGCTCGCTCCTCGCAGCAGATCTGGCGTAAACATATAGAACCACACATCAGTTTTCAGCCTGATAATATCTACCACCGGGATCCAACAGGACTGCGAATGAAGTATAATCTCCGAAACAGAAACTTCTTCTGGAGTTATGCCCATCAGAGAAAGGAGTGCTATACATCAATTGAGCCAATCCAGAAATATATGGTCAAGCATGGCCTCAGGCATTAAAACTGGACGGGGAATTAACCAAACGAGAATGGATATTTTTCAACGATGATGAAGCGACACACCACAGCTCTGTGGAATTCTGGGAATATTTCTAACCATCCATGCTACAGTTGCGGCCTCTACATGGGAAATTACATGTTCCTGGTCGGGAGCGGAACTCCTCTGGTGTCCGAATGCCTGATGTGTTTAGCCATGGAATTCCGTCTCAAGCGGAATCCCGATCGCGATTCTGTCCCTGGGCACGGCTGGACTAATGACATATAACAGTCTCATTACATCCTAGGACAGAAATCCCCTCAAAAACGAGATTGAAAAGCTCTCCTGTCCCGCCCGGGCTATGTATAAAGACGTCCACCAGCTACCTTGACTTCTGTTGGACGCATTCAGACCTCCAGTCCTATTCAAAAGTCGTCCACGCAACGTCCCCACGATGGCCACTCCCACAACCGCGAAACGCAGTCCTTCTACCCTGTCGGTGCCAAAAAGAGAGACTAGCGTCGTGGAATCTTTAGGGACGAACAAGGACAGAGACCTCCCAGACACCATCGACGACCAACAGCTGGCAGAGAAGAAGAGTCAAATCGACATCCAAACAGACAACAAGGATGATGAATTTCCTCACGGGTTTCGACTCATCTGCCTAGTCATAGGCCTGTGCATGGCATCTTTCCTGGTTTCTCTCGACATGGTCTGACTCCCTACTCTTTGTCCAAACACGCACTGATTTGACGCGAGGCGGAAACAGACAATCGTTGCCACGGCCATCCCTCGAATCACCGACCAGTTCCAGACCATCAGCGACATCTCCTGGTATGGCGCAGCCTTCTTCATGTGCGTCGGCGGCTCCACGTCAGCCTGGGGGAGAGTCTACAAGTTCTTCCCTCTCAAGAATACGTTTGTCGTCGCCGTCCTGATCTTTGAACTCGGCTCGTTGATCTGCGGCGTGGCCCCCAACTCAGACACCCTCATCGCCGGACGGGCCATTGCTGGCCTCGGTGCGGCTGGCATCTCGTCGGGCGCCTATACCATGATCGCCTTTTCGGCGCCGGCCCCCAAGAGGCCCATGCTGATGGGGATTATCGGCGGCACGGCGGGGATCGCGGCGGTCGTCGGACCTCTCATTGGCGGCGTCTTCGCCAACTCGGTCACCTGGCGCTGGTGCTTCTACATCAACCTCCCCATCGGCGGCCTCTCGACGGTAGTGATCCTGTTCTTGTTCCGCCCTCCAGCGTCTACGCGGCCTCAATCGACGACGACCTGGATGCACCGGCTGCTGCACATCGACGTCGTGGGCACGGCCATGGCGATGGGCGGACTCATTTCCATCATCCTCGCCCTCCAGTACGGCGGCACGACGCACCCGTGGGACTCAGCCGTGGTGATTGGCCTCCTCGTGGGCTCCGTCGCCATCTTCACCGCGCTGGGTCTGTGGAGTGGTTCCAGGGCGAGCGGGGCATGATCCCGCCTCACCTGATCAGCCGCCGCACGGTGCTCGTGCCCGCGGTCTTCACGTCGCTGTTTTCCGGCGCCTTCTTCCTCGAGATCTACTACCTGCCCATCTACTTCCAGTCGATCGACGGCGCCGACCCGACCACGTCGGCCGTGCACAATCTGCCGCTCGTCATCGCCATCACGGTCGGCACGATTGTGTCGGGCGTCTTCATCACGCGCACCGGCCTGGCGACGCCCGTGCTCGTCGTCGGGGCCGCCATCGCCACCGCGGGCGCCGGCCTGATCTACACGCTCGGCATTGGCTCGTCGACGGGTACATGGGTGGGCTATCAGATCTTGGGGGGGATCGGATGGGGCCTGGCGTTTCAGGTGCCCGTGATGACGGCGCAGGGGTTTTCGTCTGCAGAGGATCTCTCGTCCACGACGGCTATTGTATTGTGTAAGTCCTCTTCCTTCCCCCCCTCCCTTTTTTCCTTGCTCCCTATTTGATCCAACATGACCAATATCATGCCATACCATACCATACCATACCATGCCCCACCAAGCCAAAGCGTCCCCCAACGCCCTCTCTTTCTAACAGCCGCCATCTGATCTTCTAACATGGACCCCCTCCCCACGGAGGAGGGGATACCCAGTCTTCCAAACGACCGGCGGCGCCCTCTTCGTCTCGACGGGCCAATCCGCCTTCGTCAACACCCTAACCCGCCAAATCCGGCGGACACACCCGTCCCTCCCGCCGGGACTGGTCATCACCACGGGCGCCTCGGACCTGCGTCGCGTCTTTGGCCCCGAAGTCCTCCCCGGCGTGGTCGCTGCGTACATGTCCGGGTTGAAGGTCGCGTGGGCGGTGGCGATTGCGGCGGCGGGGACGGCGTTGGTGGTGGGGGTGTTGGGGACGTGGGAGAGGGTGCATAGTAGGGACGGCGACAGTGGTAGTGCTAGTGCTAGTGGCAGGGACAAGGAGGTCACGGAGTGATTTGTGGGATTGTGATTGTGATTGTGGTTCTGGTTGTGGTTAGAAGGAGAGGGGAGAGCTGGAGTAGGGGTAGGGGTAGGGGTAGGGGGCGGGGATGGAATGAGGGTACTGACTTGAGCTGGGTCGAGTTGGCTTGATAGGATAGAGGAGAGGAGGATAAAGGGGACAGAGAGAGGGAGACACACACACACAGAGAGAGAGGGAGACACACACACACACAGAGAGAGAGTGTGTGTGTCTCTCTCTCTCTCTCTTTCTCTCTCTCTCTTAAGAATACTTCCCCTCTCCCCCCCCCTTGTCCGCCAGCCTACTAGGCCAACCGGAATGAATACCTCACCAATAGTATCAGCATATCAGGCACTATACAGATATACGTATCCACACCTCATATACGTATACATATACTATTACTACGCGCTCAACTCCATGAAAACGCACTCGCCATGTCCCGATCCACAAACCACGACTCGTCCATAAACAGGGGACTAAAGAACGACGATGACGACTCTGCTTCTGCCGTCAGGAATGCGCGTCCGAGATTGCTACCGTCATCATCGTCTACCCATGAAGCCATGTGGTCGGGGTCAAGAGTGGGTGTCTCGAATGTTGTTGTTGTTGTTGTTGTTGTTGCTGTTGTTGTAGACGTCGGTACATCCGTCTCGCAGTCGACGTTGTCATTCCTCTGACCTCCTCCTCCTCCTCCTCCTCCTCCTCCTCCTCGACTGTCGTTGCTAGTGGTAGTGGTAGTACTACTGGATGATACGTCCGCCGTCATTGCCGCCAACTCCCGCGTCCACACCGACTTCATGGACCGGATCATGCGGCCGCTGAGGGTGAACGTGTCCACTTCGGCGCCGGGGCCAGCGCCAGAATTACAATCTCCGTCCCCATCGCCGTAGCCGATGCCGGTGCTGTGGCTCGTGTACGCTGCGAGGAGTTTTCTCTGCGAGGAGACCTCGTCCAGACTGCTGATGAGGCGGTCGCAGATGTCGAGCAGGTCGATGCGGTTGTCCGCGTCCCCGCCCCCATCCCAAAGTAGATCCCTTTCTACGGTCACGACGCCGTGGAGAGTCAACAGGCAATGGCCCAGCTGGCACCAGAAGGGGAAGGACATGCCCGCGTAGGCCGTGGCGGGGAGGGCGAAGAGGGCGTCGAAGAACCCGCCGAGGCACGCGACAAGATCTCTCCGGGCGTGATGGCGGCGGTGGTCGGGCTTGGTGTTAATGTTGGTGTTGAAAGGTCCGGCCAGCTGGATCGTGGTCTCGTGCGTGATCAGCTCCGTGTAGCGGAGCTGGGCGAGGAGGATATCTACAACGCCACGACGTTCGGCGTTGCTCCTGGTTAGCATTGCTTCTCGGCGCCTTCCGGTGGCACCACGAAATGAAAATGTATGGAAAGGGGGGGAGGAAGTAGGGTGGAACAGTCAAGAGATAAAAACATACGATTGTTCTTGAGATCCGGTGTCAATTCCTTCTCGATAGCCCGAATCTGCGCGAGAATAGCAGATACATAGAATGCCGAAGGTCCAGTCGCCGTCGCCATCGCCGCCGCGGTCGTATGAGAAGATGAAGACGAGAATAGCGACAACGACGATGATGGTGCAGACATAGACCACGAGTTACGATTGATGTCATCCAAGAGCAGCTGCAGACGTACTTGGGCCACGAGGACGCCGTCGAGATGCCACTCGGGCTGTGTCGCCAGCGTTTCCAGACACCGTTCCATGTAGGGCGTCCAGTTTAGGCCGTCGATTCTCTTCATGGTCAAGGAGATTCTATGGATGGACATCTGCGTAAGCGACCGAGATAACAATGTAGCAAGGAAAAAGTTTTGAGACACACACAGCGCGAGAGAGAGAGGGAGGGAGGGGATGGGGACGACGTACTGGCTGGTTATGTAGAAGCACGCAAGCACGGCGCGACATTCGTCCATGGTCTTTCCGTCCCCTCCAGGACCTTCGCGCGAAGCTCTGTTCAGTCCCAAGTCAAAGACAAGCGACATGGCCAGCGAGCAGAGCAGAGATATATTTGGTCCTCTCTTCTTGTAGAAATGTGACCTGCAAGCTTCCAGTGAGCGAGGACTTGAATATGCCTTATCTGTTTCATCCATTCGAGATCAATAGAGCAGTGCAGTAAAGAAGGGACAAAGAGAAACTGTTCTTACCAGGACAGATAGACCAGCAAGCCCAGCAACAAGTCTACGCTCCTCTCATTCTCCACAAACATGTCCTGGGCGAGTTTCTTCTGGATCGCTTCACTCCACGCCAGCTGGAGCGACGTGACCGGCGTCGCCACCGTCATGATATTGTACCACAGAAAGGGTCGTGTCTCTCGGAGCTGGCTGGCGGTCACGGTCGGGGGGAGGTGCACGAAGGGCATGAACTCGAGATGTTGGCTGCGGAAGACGCCCAGACACTGCTCGGCCTCGGCTGGAGTGACCGAGTAGAAGGCTGGTAGGACATGAGTGCCCCTCCTGGACGTGAGGGTGGTGGTATGGGACTCGCATACCGGATGGATAGGATAGTTGAATGTGGGTGAAGATGACTTGTCGGTCGGGATGGCACGATCCGCACCCTGAGAGATGGGTGGGGGATGTATTCTGTTCCTGCTCCTACTGTCCCGGGTGTGACTCTGCGCGACTGCGTCATGGCGTCGTTCATGGTCTGCGTCGAGGTCCTCTGTGTCAAAGGCTGGACTGGAATCTGAAGTGGCCGTATCAAAATTCCCGGCTCCTGGACGATGGTGGCGCTGATTTCGGAGCACATTGACCAACTCGTCAAGCTTGTTCTCTAGTCGAGCAGTCCTCGAAGGGGGACGACAGCGTCCGTTGTGTCTTCTCCGCGGGTTACCAGGCACACATTGTTTCCCTAGACGACGGCATCTGCGAGTGACATCAATCAGCACGACAGATGGATCAGGTGCAAAAATGCGATGCGCCCGAGTACGAACCTTTCGCAATCCAACCCCGGCCCTCGCTGTATGCACCGGCATTTGGCCCGCGCGCATTGAAGACATGCCCGCCCATACGGTGCCGAGTTGAATTGGGGGTCATCGCCGTCCTGTGGTGTGTCCATAGCGAGAAATGTGAGGGGACAAGAGTATTCAACAGTGAAAAGGAGGAGATGTAGATGGATAGTATGGCTGATACAGATCAAACGGTAGATTAATAATTCACTCCTTGGGCCTTGCCTTCCTCCTCCATTTCCCCTTTCTCAATGAGAGAATGAATCTCGAGATCGACTGACTGGCACTGGTACTGGCACCAAGCACAGCTATGCCTTAGCGGCTATACCTTCTCGTGCATCCCCGGATTTCGGGACCGGATTTCAACACCCTCCGTCCGTATTAGCACAACCGCACTAGTGTCACGCCTTCCATCCTACAGATGTCACGAGACAGTTCCTGCAGTGATGTGGAGAACACCCGAGGTCTATGGAGATATGGGATACCGACTGAGTGAGTGAGCGAACCCTGGATGTATGAACGGGACAATAAAGAATGATGTACCGAGAACAACAGATTAGGGGGATGATGGTTGATGGATATATATATATATATATCTATACAGTCTAGCGGCGGTGGACTCAACTCTACAGGGATATTTACTAAGATGAGAACATGTCCACATGCGTGCATGTCATAGACAGTTGCCGCTTCGTCATTTACCCTGGGTGGTCTCTTGACGGCAACACCCATATCGTGCATGCTACAATGTACTGTATGGGGCAAGACCTCTTTCTTAGGATCGTACGGATACCTGCTATTGACCCCCAAGATCATCACGCCGGGAGGAAGAATAGCTCCCCCTCGCCAGGAAACCCGACCGTGTCCAGACTCTCCCAGCCCCAGCCTAGGAGGTTCTGAAACATCAAGTCGTCGTCCGACGGTGTGAACTGTCCCATGAGCGTCGGATCCGCGCCACGAGCTACACCACTACCGCTGTCACCTGGTCGCGCATTGCTAGGACCTTCCGGATGCTCGGAACCCACCGCAGTCGTCAGACTAGACTGGTCTAGTGGGACGTCCAAGCCTCCCGAGTCTACGGCCCCCGAAGCCAGTTGTGACATCGGTGCAAGCTGGTGAGGTGGTACCGTTGAGGGCGAGGTGCGCTCAAACGTCGACGTCTTCAATCGCGCGGCGTCCTTTTCGGCACGGAGTCGAAGCCGACTTAACAGGTGACAGTGGCGTCGGGCCTGGCTGCCCTCCGGGGACATCTCCGCCAGTCGATCCTGGCATAACATGGCCATGTCGAAGAAGACGTTCATCTCCGGAAACACGCCCGGCGGGATGTTGGCGCGGCTACTCTGGATGACAAAGACATAGAGGGTAGACACCGCGACGAGGGCAATGTACTGCGTGAACCAGAAGGACTGGTACAGCGCCCCCCGTTGAATCAAGTCGCACGTCGTGTTGAGGATGGTGCTGATGGCACTGGCGCATTCACGGATCGGGTTCAACGCCCTTTCATCCAGGACCGACAAGGCCCTGTGCCCGAGTCGGCTGAAGTCTGCGAGCAAGCATCGCCTGGTGGCCAGGATCCGGAGATGAGCATGCGCAAGTTTCAGGACAGTATTTTGCCGCTCAAACGTCCTCTGCCCCGCCAGGGTCCTGGCACGGGGTTTCAGGAAGTCCGGAAGAGTGTCCTTCCACTCCAGCGTAGCCTCAAGCATCCAGTTGGTCCGATCGAACAGCTGATCTTCAGAGAGAGGGTGGATTGGATAGAGGAGATCGCTATTACGTCCCATCAACTTGGCCAGGTCGGCATGTGCTATGAATGCTTCCAGGTTACCGTGCAAGGGGAGGTCCTCGGGAGACTCCGTGGACAGCAAGTCTTGATCGTCAATGTTGCGAGGGTACGGCTGGTCGATGTCTTCGTCGCGGAGCATTCGTGGCCGGCCCAGCATCACACTTATGTACTCATCCAAAACATACGCACACCAGAACGTGCGTTTCCGCGACTCCAGCGTCACCAGATCTAGTTTCTGGCTGGACGAAATCTTCCTGTGGAGACCTATCGAGGTCAGGATCGTGCAGGCGAGGCTGAAGCAGAACCGGCACTCGTTGATCCGGAAAGTGCTAAGGAGGTACAAGCACATGGCGAGTCGGGCCTGGACGCTGGCGACGGAGGCTGGTCCAGGTTCTTGATTGAGAAGAGACTTGGCCTTTTCGAAATCTGTAGCGATAGAAAAGTCAGCCATTCGTCAGTGTCCACCATCTAAGGAAAAGCCCTCGGAGAGGACATGGAGTAGCTCTGTGTTCTTATCATCTACGACGACACATCCCTCGTGACTCGGGGATCCAAGGATAGATAACTTACAAAATTGGCTGCGGGTAAGGTCCTGGTCTCCGCCATCGACATACCTGTCGCCTTCCCTCGTGTAGAGGAGTGACTGTGAGAACACCAGTAGAGTACATGCGGCTTCCGCTTTCAAGAGTCGAGCCCCACTCAAGAGGTGGGATGTCCACTTCTCGAGCGTTGGCCGATGGAGAAAGCGATAGGTGGGCGTCGCGAAGCGAAAGTACCGTTCTAGCAGCGCATCTGCCTCTTCACGTGTGGGCAGCGGCTGGTCTTGTCGAACTTGGACGGGAGGGATGTCTCCGTGGCAGGTCAAAGGCGCTGATGGCAACGCAGCCTCTCCCTCGACCGCATCCCCTCGATTCCATGAGTGATAGAGAAACGACACGCCTGACGTTGCGCTGATGTGGTGGCCTTCAGCAAAGGTGGGTTCGAGCGACGGGCCTCGAGAGAGACGAGGCGTGTTCTCGGGTGATCTCATCAGCACTTGATTTGAGGCTTGAGGGGTCGACATCGTCACATTTGTACGGTCGCTCAGTGGTTCGCCTGGCGACCTCCATGTCTCTGAGACCCGGTGAAAGCTTGGAGTGTCACCACGGCCATGACTGCAAGACTCGGGAGGTGGCCTCGACTTGCCATCGTCGTACTCGCAACGAACCTCTTCACCGCGGCAGTAATCGCAGGGCTGAGTGCCCGAACATCGCACTTTACGTCTGAAATATACCATACACCATCAGAACGGGAGGGCAGACAAAGGCAAAGAACCGATCGCATTACCTCCTACAGAACATACAAGCCCTGGTGGTACGTGGGTGCTTGAGCTTGCGTCGTTTGGGAGGACTGGATGGCAGAGTACGATTCTCCGACGGAGACGAGGTCTGGGGCTCCTCCATGTCTGTGTTTCTGGGTTCATGGAAATTCTGGAGCAGCTGGATTTCCCGTAGGAACAGCAGACGAAGGGTAAGAGACCATATGAAGAAAAGTGGGTGGCACTGCGGGGATTTTCCCAAGTCCCTGGACGCACCCTGGGGAGACAAACCGGTGCCAACCGGGCAAATACGGGATCCCTCCGTCGGCAAGTTTGAAGAAGATTCTCAGCATCCGATTTGACCAACGACCGAACGACAAGCGACCGACAAGCGACCCTCTCCTGCCCCTGGACATCGGTTCAATAGCCGACAAGGCCGAACAGATGGACCCGGTGGAAAAGTTTCCTGGGAAGGATGCGGAAAAGGGAATAGGGCAAGGAAAAAGGGAAAAGAGCAATGAAGATAAGCAACAGCTTCCTCTCCATTCTACCCTCTCAACTCACAATAACTTAAGACACACACAGGATCCAAGCAGCAGCAGCAGCACAGCACAGCACAGCCATGGCCCTCAATCGCACCTTTACACTCAACACCGGCGCCAAAATCCCCGCTGTCGGCTTCGGCACGTGGCAGGCTGCGCCGCACGAGGTGGAGAAAGCAGTTGAGATCGCCCTGAAGGCCGGCTACAGACACCTGGACTGTGCAGCAATCTACAGAAACGAGACAGAGGTCGGATTGGGCATCCAGAAGAGTGGCGTCGACCGCAAAGACATCTTCATTACGACCAAGCTGTGGAACAGCAAACACGACCCCAAGGATGTCGAACCGGCACTCGACAAGTCGTTGAAGGACCTCGGGGTAGACTACGTCGACTTGTACCTCATGCATTGGCCCGTGGCCTTTGCCTCTGGAGACCGATGGTTCCCCCTCGATGAGCAGGGTGTGTTCCGGCTATCAGACGTGCCTTTTACCGAGACGTGGAAGGCCATGGAGGCACTGTTGAAGACGGGCAAGACCCGCGCGATCGGCGTCTCAAACTTCAACATCCGCCGTCTCAAGGAGCTCCTCGCCACCTGCGACGTGGTGCCCGCGGTCAACCAGGTCGAGGCACATCCATATCTGCAACAACCCGAGCTGCTCGCCTTCTGCAATGAGAAGGGCATCGTGCTCCAAGCCTACAGTCCTCTCGGGAACAACACAACCGGTGAGCCAAAGACGGTCGACGATCCGGAAGTCCACGCCATCGCCAAATCCCTGGGTATGGACCCAGGCCAAGTCCTCGTGAGCTGGGGCGTCCAACGCGGCACGGTCGTGCTCCCGAAGAGTGTTACCGAGAAACGCATCCGTGACAACTTCCAAGATGCCATCCTCCCCGACGACGTCATGGAGAAGTTGAACGCGCTGGAGAGGAACAAACGGTTCAATTTCCCCGCCAGATGGGGATACGACATCTTTGACGAGCTCGGTGATGAGCAGGTTGCCAAAATCGCAAAGGAATCCGGGCCTGAGAATCTGCAGAAGTTCACTGTCTGAACAATAGAATCTAGACTGCAAATAGACCGCATGTAGAGGGAGCATCCAATTGGACTTCGTTGCCGAATCTGGCGCTTAGACCTCGCGAGGAACGCGTAGGATTCATGAGCATAGTCTTGGTTGCGTTCGCCGTCAGACTAATTTATTTATGCAGCCGTCGCAGGACAGACTCTTTGGTTTTGGTAGTTCCAGTCATAAGCCACCCACACGCCGTAGAGATGGATCTGACTCGCCACGACCACCAAGACGTGGAAGAACTGGTGCGACGAAAACCAGATGTCAAATGCGCCCGGCCAGATCGACTCGGGGATCCGGGTGACGAAGAAGAAAGCGCCGATGCCGTAGACGAGACCCTCCAGCAACCAGTACGGCATGCCCGAGCGCACCCACATCTCACTCCAGCCGTAGAGGAAGAGGCCGTGGATGATGGGGGCGA